GGGGGGGGGGGGGGAATTTTGTTTTAAATTCATGAGGACTGTTGAGGTTTCTTCGTAAGTTTTTTTGGCTCCACAAAAGATTATTCGTAGTTTTGGGACTAGTTGAAGCACCTGCAGTGCATCTGACGACCACGAGGGAAGAACACATTGAGCAATGTGTTGTTGAATAAAGTTGAGAAATACTGAGTAATAATTTTAACGATATAAACAATGGAGAATATGTTGTTGAGAAGAGTAGATCGAGGGATCTGTCGTTATTTCAATATTTTGAGGATGAATCATACGCAATCAGAGGCCCAATATCGCACGAGTGATGGTAATATTATGGATAAAGAGAAAGCAATCCATCCTTATCGCAAAATTCATCCCTGGAAGACGAAAACTGGATTTTCTGAGAGTCTTGCTGATTCTGTTATCTATAACAAAGGTATTTATCTCGAATAAAAAATGCATTGTTGTAATTTTTTGTTTAAAGATAGGGGCTAATGGGGCAAAATGGACACTTGATTTTTTTTTTAATCTCAATAGCTCATTTAATTTTTAATTGAGCCTCAGCCGAATCCAATTGATGAATTTGTTCCTGGCTTAGGGGCATTAAAAAAGTCGAAAGTGTTTATTTTATCCTACCCTCCCTCTGTAAATTATCTCATACTACTACGTTACTTTTCATCCTTAGACTCCCAATAACACATTGCTCGCCTACATTATTCTACTAAAAATTCTCAAGAGTCTGATACATTTGTTGAATGCATAAATGAATAATAAATTATTTTTATTCATTACTTCGTTTTAATTTGCAGACGGATTGGTGGCAATTAACAAACCCTATGGGATCTCAGCGCAAACACTAACAGGCGACGAAGGACTTGTGAATAAACTACCAAGTGGGATTCCTAATGAAGTTGATTACACTGTCAAAGATGCATTACCAATTATTGCGAGGAGATTGGGCTACGAGTCCCTGCGAATTATCAAAACACCTGAGAAGTAATTGAATGCATTGGACGAGACGAATGGCATTTGATACAAAATTAGAGAGTTAATGTCGATTATTTTACAGATTCACCAGTGGAGTTACTCTGCTGGGGGCTTCTGAGAAGATCGAGACAGCAGTGGCAAAGTCCCTGAGGATAGCTGAGGGTGCACGAATATTGTCTCGAACATTCTGGACAGTAACTAGAGATGTTCCGAGGAAATTGGAGGGAGAGAATAGGGTTGCGATGACGCTGGAGCGGTTTAAGGGGAGAAGACCTGTGGTAAGCTTCAAATTCATTAACAATTCGTAATGGATAATTTTATGGATTTAAGGGATTCGATGAACACTCGATTGATCAACTGCATTCAAGGATACTTCAGAATGTTTTACAGTTGCTCTATTCGAAAATATTCTCTTTTTATAGACAAACGAAAATAAATTGTGATGAGAAGAATTGATTATTATCTTAAAAAACATGTGTACATGTTTTGAATAATTATGAATTTGATTAAATGGATCTTCTGAATATAAAATTAACTTGCAGCCCATCATCATCGATAAATGGAGTAAAAATGCCCGTGACCGAGGAGACATAAAAATCCTCAACGTCCAATACAAGGTTCTCAGCCATGGAACCCACAATTTGGCATCACTAGTCGAAATAAAATCGTCGACAAGACAGTGGCACGCTGTGCGCCTCTTCGCAGCTACTGTTCTTCTGGCCCCGATCCTGGGGGACAGAATATATGGCTCGAGGGTTCAGCACATCATGGGAAAGAAGATACTTGTGAATCCTGGGGTGGACGCAGCTCACATGCCACCAAAACTCAACCCTGACCTGCTGACTATTCTGAAAATTGGGAAGGGCAAGGATTCAATGATCCCAGTGCACACACACCATCGGGAAATTTATCTTCCTTCGTTTCTGCAGAAAACTAATACTGTTGTTATCACAGCTCCTCTGCAGCCTGAATTTTTGTGGACTTGTAGGCAATGTGAATTCAATGAAAATGTTTTTGAAAATGTTAAGAGCGATGATGTGAGTGAACGTAGGGCCCTTGAAATACGTACTGATGGCACATGATAGAATAAAGGAATTTAAAGACTCTTTATATTTTTTCTTGGTTTATTTGGTCACTGTTTCGGGAAATAATAAATGTTTTCTGGGTGATTTCTTCAGGCAGATAGAATGGGATAGCCTTTGAGTACTTTGTGCAACATAATGTACAGTTAATAGACATCAATCAATCGATCATGACGATTATCCTGCCAGAGAGAATGGACATTCTCTTGACATATCCACGAACTTCAAATCTTTTAGTTTCATTTGATCTTAGCCAGTCGTTGATCACCTGCTGGATACTGTTATCACTTCTCCATCAACGAAGAAATTCTGGAGAATGTTAAGAGTAATGATACTTGAATATAACTTTTTTTTCATTTATATAACTTCTAGGCCAGCATAAGTAAGAAGCTCTGTACTTGATTTTTAAGCAAATCTGGGTTAACTCGTTCACAGAATGCCAACCTTTCTCACCTTTGTACAAGATATTGTCTCTAAACAAAATAATAAATTGAAATTAAATGATACATAAACGAATGAGGTGACTAATTGTTTATATTTTGCTCTCTTGGTTTATTTATTTCCATTTCTAGGATGGAAAATAATAAATGTTTTCTTGGTGAATTCTTCAGTGAGCTAGAATGGCGCAGCCTTTGAGGATTCTCCTCATGATGATTTTCCTCCCTGCGAGGGTGGACATTCGCTTGGCATATCCATGAGTTTTAATTCTTTTAGTCTCCTTTGGTCTTGGCCAGTTGTTCCTCACCTGGTTTATGAATGGCATTGCTCCCCATCTACCTCCAGCTATTTCGTAGGGAGTTAGTGGTAATTTCACCGGTGGTTTCATACACAACGATCTCGTCGGCAGGGAGGCCATCGGTCCACTGCAATACCCATGTTATTTCGAATAGTAGTAAAATTAATTAATTGAAAATATGACAAATGTGGAAATTCTTACTGGAACGTCTGGAGAACTGTTGAAATCAATCGTCCGAACATGTTCAGTCAGTTTTAATATATTACGATGTTTTCTATTCAAATGAATTCAGACTTGGTTATGTTCGTAGAGGGGAGGTGTAGCTTGATGTCGCCGACACCAGAAGAGGGGAAGTGGCGCTGTTATACAGCGCTCGTCGACGGGTTGGGGCGGAAGGGGTCGTTTGTACAATTTCAGATGGACATGGACACATTCCGTTTTGGACACGTTCTAGGGAAAATGGCGAGAGTACGGGAAGGCGGTGGAGACACGGCAAACGACCCCCCCCCCCCCCCCCC